CCCTCTCTCTCTCCCTCTTTCCCTTTCTTTAGTTTTAGTATTATTTATTTCATCTATCACCCGTTCAATATACATCTCCTAGGAAAGCCGCCTACCGTCCTTCATTTACGCAAATCCGCGCGTACTTCCGGTTCTAATCCTTGCAACACATACCGCATTGAAATGATGAAAGCGAATTTGCATGTCGTGCTAATATTATGCAAAATATTAAATAGAGAGTGATCAAATATCCTGTGATGACCAGGATGGCAATAAAATAGACAATTTTACGTGTTGCATTAATTTCAAAGCCACCTGAAAATTGTTATTTATTTCAATTAAAACCACCTGAAAATTGTTATTTATTTCAATTAAAGCCACCTGAAAATTGTTATTTATTTCAATTAACCTTTTAAATTTAGTTCCATAATAAGTTTCAATAGTTAAAAGTTAACCTATAGGTTCATAATTTTGATATGTTTCAATTAAATTTGATTTGATGGATCGTTTTAATCTTCTTTTAGAACAATTATAGGCTAAAATTTCAATTTGATACATTCTATCTAGGAATGTTTGTTGTACCGTACAATTCAATCCAACCTATAATAAAATATCAATTAAATTTTTGTTTAAAATTAACGCAATTTTTATAAGTTTACAGAATTAAAATAAATATGATAAAGGAAATAGGAAAATTAAATGTTTATTAATTTTGTTGATAAGGATATCAAGATGTTAACATACATAAATATCGATATTATTGGTGCTAACAGTAAGCATTGATGGCATAAATGGTTTGCTTAATTGCGCATTTAAAAAGCATCTTTTAACTCGTTCTAAACATTCCCAATCATTGATCTATAAATCAAAAAAAAAAAATTATTTACTTAAAATTGGTTATTATCACTCGTTTATTAATTAATGGCATATTACGATACTTTCCTAATAAGATAAGATTATTTTTAAGAAATAGCTACTATTATTAGTTTATATTAGCTTAATTGATTCAAAATTTTTTATAGAATATATAATTAATGATTTAATACGAAAAAGTATTAATTATATTCTTGATAAAATTAATTTTTTAATGAGTAACTTTTAAAACAAACGATAGTTTCCTTCAGGAATGCTTAAATCATAGTTAAGTTTAAGTAAATAATTATTTTACAGAGGAAATATGCAAATGTGATGTTGTTGATGATTTAATGCTGATCATTTTAATACTTCCAGTGCATTGACTTATTATGAGTGCACACATTCCTTCGTACTGAAATTAAACTACTCGCGGTAAAGTTCATATATTTGAGGATTTTTTTAAATATTTAAATTTTGCATTATTGATGGTATATTTAATGAGTTAGTGAATGTTAAACTGATAAGGTATTGTTAAAATTTTTCCTCAGAAATGCAAATATGATACATTCAAAAGGATGAATGGATAATGAATGAAGGTAGGTATAGGCGGAAGAACGGAACGGAGCTCACATTTTATGTTTTTACCGAATGTTAAACTGGTAAGGTACTGTTAAAATTTTCTCTCAGAAATGCAAATATGATGCATTCAAAACGACGGATAATTAAATACTGAACGAAGATAGGTATAGGCGGAAGAACGGAACAGAGCTCATGGTTTAAGTTTTTAGCAAAATACGAATGATCAAGTTGCATTATGTCATGAATAAGTGATAAAGAAGGATGAAAGTCTGTAAAAGATAGCTTTGTATAATTTTTTTATCAAAGATACTGATAATAATGAACGATTAAACAGGCAAATATCGCATGTTCTATATAGCAAAATAAGAAGTTTATAATTGAGTAATGATATTTTTGCTGGAATTTAATTTCTACAGATTTCCTAATCATTAGTACTTTAAATCATAAACCTGATATGTTGATAAATTTATTGATAAATGAAATTGCCATTTGTGAATATCAACAAAAATGCCAAAATCCTGTTTAATTATACCAATAAGAATGAATGTTGTTGTAGCAGCGGACTGCATAGTGATTTAGAAATTACATTAACTGATAACAAAATGTTATCATTTCATATTGCTTATATACTGCTAATTTCTTGCACTCAATTTGCATATTTCAGAGTAATTATGCCAATTGAACTGTGAAACATATGATAAGCGTATTTCTAATTATTGATAAAATTTTATTTCAAACATTTCTTATCAATGATAATTGATATTTTCAACTAAAAAAACATTTTCTCAAATATTTTAATTTTTTCACCAAAAAAATTAACTATTATCATTTCAATTATCATTATCATTAATGTCCAATTGCCTTTATCACTTCCATATCATGTTCTTCAGCTTTATCGCATTTAATCAATGATTTTCAAATGTTGCATTAATTAAAATTTTGATTATATAGCATTTTTACAATCATGCGTTAATTACTGATAACCTAAGATTTAATTAATGAATAATTATGTATGATAAAATTTTTCAGACCCAAATTGCACCCATAAAAATTGATGGAAAATTTTTCCGTAATCTTTTATAATATGCTAATTATGACAAGTAATATCTGACTTGGGTTTATTTCTACTAAAATTTATGGGTCATTTTCCGGAAGTCCAAAATTCTTTCAGGTTTTTCAGGTTTTACTCGTGAATTTTTTCTTTTTCTTGCAAAAACTTTCCAGCAATATGGGATGAAATACAATGGAATGGTATTGCAATGGATTGGAATATAAAATAGATCGTAGAATAGAATTTTATGAATGAATTAAAGTGATTTGATTGAAAAGGAAGCAGGAAGAGAAAGATATTTTATCTAAAGTAAAACAATAAAGGTATAGGATAGGTGATACTTTATCCATCCAGTAATTGATTTTGTTTACTCGCATGATAGCTTATATACTGTGATTAATTTCTGGGACAATTAGATGGGTAACTACCCTCATAAAAGGTAAATCTGTAATCGATAGCATTAATTAATGAAAATATAAAATTTGAAATCAAAAAGAAAAAAATTTTTCCAACAATTGGTATTTTTATATGCCATTTGTTGAATGTCACACTCTAAACTCTCCTGTCAATTTGTTTACTATAACCTGTATTTGTAAACAATTAAAGGCTAAAAAAAAAATAGATTGGCCAATAAGTCTTATTATCGAATCTTATCTGTTTGAAAAGATTTATTGCTTAGTAGTAATTATCATTTTAGAAAAATATAAATCAGTTTGAAATAATTAATATTTATGGAATAATTAGAAAATATAAAGGAAATGAAAGGAAAACACAAACATTGAAAACATTTCGGCTTGAATTCGAAATACTTGATAACAAACTCAGAATTGATAAGCTTGATATTCGTAATACTTGATAACAAACTCAAAATTGATAAGCTTGATATTCGTAATACTTGATAACAGACTAAGAATTGATAAGCTTGATATTCGTAATACTTGATAACAGACTGAGAATTGATAAGTTTGATACTCGTAATACTTGATAACAGACTAAGAATTGATAAGCTTGATAATAGGCTCAGAATTATTATCTTGCTAATTATTTATTCCTTTTATTGATGCGCAATTTAAAGTTTTTGTTTTCGTTTTTTTCTTTTTTTTTTTTTTAAACTTTGTGAACTGATATTGTACCATGCACAATGTATCAATGTAATTTGTCATCTGTCAACACATAAAGCATCGGCTGCCATAAAATGATATTTATTGAAATGTAAAAGATTGCAAAGAAAGAGAACAAAGAAACGGATATAAAATTGAATTTAAGACGATCATATATAACAATGATTATTTCAATTTGATACGCTCTATTTGATTAAAATGAAAATTGAAATGAATCAATGAAATTGGTCAATTTGAATGCATCAATGCATGAAAATGACCTTTCTATGAACGTTCTAAACGGAAAGAACGGTAAAATTTTAAATCAATTTATTATTTCAAAAAATTTTGAAATAATGTTTTCGAATCTTTGCAAAAATTCAACAAAATTTAATTTAGCTTATGTGAACTTTGGTCGAAAC